CAACTGGTATGAATTAAAAGAGGACATCAGCGTCTTCAAGGAGACGGGATGGTTTTTCAAGGAACACATCCAGTGTCAGTGATATGATGAGAACAGATATAAAATAAATGAAAGAAAGAAAGGAATTAGACATGCCCACTGTGTATATGGGGAAACCCACCCAAATAAGTCCTCATGCAAACATAAGGCAAATTAAAATGCACCGCAATTTTAACACGCAGCAATGTAATACTGAGAGAGAAGGAGGGAGAGACTTCATCTGATCCTGGTGACTCTGGAAGCATTCTCCTTGGAGTGGGGTGTAGTTTTGGGACCTATAGAGAAAACTGTAAATATAACTCTTATTCACTGCAGTGAAAAAAATATATAGTCATCAGTATAAAAGGGCTGTTTATTGATTTTCAATGTTCAGCATCAACCTGCAAACAGAACACAAAAGCCTTACTCATTCTTACACAACCTTGACAAGGTAAATAAAAAGTGCAGCAGGCTCGGGTGGTTGCATATGGCAGGAGAGAAGTACAAGAAAGGGCAAGAAGGACAATAACCCCGTCTCACAGCCAGGACCTGGGCCAGGATTTGGAACAAGCCATAAATGTCCTAGGTAAGGTTAAATAGGAAAACAATAAAAAGAGGGAACGGTGATTTTAAAACCTAGGAAAATCTTAAAAATCGAAATTAGAAGGGGGTAGTGTCATTTTCCTTTTTGCATCATCAACGTAAATTGTCTCTGGTTCTTATTCCCCCAAAGAACATGATCTTCATATTTAGAATTGTGAAGGTAGTCACCGAAAGAAATTAGAAATTACTTCAAAATATTCCTTCCAGTAATTTGGGACTTGGTTGGGAAGAGAGGAGTTTGGAGACAGTTCTTTAAAAATGATTATTATGAGCTATTCTTCTCTATTTGATTCGTTGTCATGTGTATATATTATTTCGATTTTGAAGATCCTTGAACATTGGCCACATGGCAAGCATTGTGTTAAATACCAGACAGTTAAAGGTGACACCCGCCTTGCAGCAGAAACAGCTACAGAAACAAAAAAATGACCAGGACAAGGAAACCTTACTAGGTTGGGTTCGCGTAAACTGGGAGAAAGCAAGACAGAGCAGGGAACGGCGGCAGTTTGCTTCTCCACAGGAAAGTTCATGGTATGTTTGGCCAATTGATTGAAACTGTTGGTATAGAACCCTCAGAGAGATGAATTAAAAGAAGTGTTTAGGGCTTAGAGGCTTGGAGACTTGCCTTGGTTCCTTCACATAGATAACATTGTGGTCAGGCAGATAGAATTACTGACAGTTTGGAACTGCAAGAATCCTTAGAGAGACTCTATCCAATCTTGCATTTTATAAACAAAGGAAACTTGATAGTGGTGGAGCAAGGGCTGAATATCAGTCCTTCTGCTTCTGAGTTTGGTGCTCGATCAAAAGAGTTCCAGACTAAGACATTCCTCCAATAGGACATTGGTATTAGTCACATGTCTACCATGGGCCAGGCACTGTGCTGGCTTCTTGGTACATGCTCCTTAAGTTAACTCACAGCAGTCATAGAAGGTAGCCATATAAGGTAGACTATACCTACATTAAATTTGATCAAACTAAGATTTAGAAAGCTTAAATCATTTGTCTAAGTCCTATAGGACTGCAGAAAGACAGAGCCTGAATCTGAAAGACCCTATCTAACCTCTAGGTTCGTGGCCCTTGGCTGTAGGCTGGTGGTATATACCCTGCTGGTTGAGATGAGAGCAATATGTCCTTGTATTGTGACCAGAGGTAGAAATAATAGCTAGCTCATGCTTAATCATGGAACATATCAATGCAATCCAGTAATACAGGCAAATACCCATCCCAGCACCGAGCAAGCAAGTCTCTCTGATCTGCCTCTCCACTCCCCCATGACCATCCTGGGTGAAGGTCTGGGTGCTGCCAGGCGATCCTTCTTAATTAGAAGGGACCCCAGGAGTCTTTGCACAGCCCCAAGCTATTCCGAGCAAAATAAACAGGAAACGGAAAAGAGGGAGAGGAGAGATAAATCCTCACTGACTCTAAAAGATTTATACTGACAATATCCCAAGGAGCTTATGAAATGTATTTTTTTCCTTTTTTTTCTTTTGGTGGAGGAAAACTGCTGATGAAAAGATAGCTCTCAACTATAGAGTTTCATTGAGAGTGAAAATACTTTAAGCTCAGTCTTTTATTGATAGTCCAGTTGCACAAAATAAAATTCATATAAACATCATCTCACATATTAGAACTGGAAAAATAATCCATCTTCCAGTCAGCTTTGAAAGAGTCCCATTATTGAGGTACTGCATTACTGAATTATAGAGACAGAATTTACATGCTTCCCACACCTGGGAATGAGGAGCATGAAGACAGGAGGAGCTTCAAGCCTCAACACGCCAGCACCTTCAGCCTGATTGTTGAGGTCCTTTTGTGTGCTATGTGCACATCCATGCATGCTTGTCTTCTTCCTGAGATAAATGGAGGAACCCCCTTCATGTAGTCCACATTCTTTCTTTCAGCTACTCAAATAACTGCTGATTTCAACCCGAATTTCTACCAACTTGAAATTATTAGGGCCAAGTCTCAGTCTAGGGTATATCTGTTGCTCTCTTATGTGTAAATGACCACACAGGGCTTGGGACAGGACATCCTAACTTCATACCATAGCCCCAAAGAGTCCCGAGCAAGACTGTGCTACCAGAGATTCTCCAGGACCCTCACCTGCTCTGGACAGAGCAGAAAGGGAAACCCCAGTCATTGCCAGAAGCCATCGTCCAGCATGGCACGTTTCCTTATAACAGAAACACACCAAATCTCTGAGATTTGCTTTTAGTCACACCTTTGTCCTCCTGTGGACTGGTGGTAGAGGACGAAGTTGGGTATATTATCTCTCCTCTTCTCCCCCGCTTCAGATCAGTCCTCTCTGATTATATCACCCTCCTGCTCAGAATTTGGGGCTCCCTATAATCCACAAAATAAAATGGAAATCTTCATCCGGGAATGACATGTTCTCTGTTCTGTTCCCACCACCTACCACCCCAGGCTTTCTCACTTCCCACTCTTCTCTCCACATGTCCCCCTCTGCAGCAGAGCATTCTCTACCTTTATGTCTGTACCCCTCCTCTTCCCCTCCACTTGTGCATGCTGGTTCTGCCAATTTTTCTGTTTTCCTTCCCCTCTGAGATCTTGCTTGAAGGTCTTTTCTTGCTGAGTCTTACCACCTGGACTTGGGTTTCCTTCCTGGCACCTCCCAAGGTGTTTTAGCCACCTTTGTGTGATGACTTTATAATCTCTAATTCTGAGTACAGTTCTTGCAGCCATCTCTTGACCCCTACCAGACCTAGAGTCCCTTGAAGTCCAGAACTGTGACTGCTTCATATCTGTTTTCCCATAGCAGAGCCTGTGCCTGAATGTTTGCTCAAAATAGGCATCCAATAAAAGGATTGTGAGAGCATAAAGATTAAGGCAGAGAGTGAATATGAATTCAGTCCAGGGTCCATCTGCTCTTGTTTCTCCCTAACTGCTCCTCTGAGTTTCTGAGTTTCACACCCTGGACCCAAGATATCATGGTCATATTTTAGGGGAAAGGACACAGTGTAATGATGAGGAAGACACCGGGGAAAGAACACTGCTCAGAATTCCAGAGACCTGGCATCTGGTCTTGACTTTTACAATAAGACTTCAGACAAATCGTTGCCCTGTTTTGAGTCTCCAGTCTGCCTCTCTAGAAATGCAAAGGGTTGTGTTCTATGATCTTTGCACTTCTAAGTCTGTGTCTTTAATCTCTTTCTTTCCTCTGTGCCCATGACAAGAACACCACCCTCCAATACCCCCAACACACACATGCACACACTGTAAATTAGGGATAGAATAAACCTTATTTACTGAGAGCATTTTTCAAATGCCCCTAAGCTATGTTGAAACTTCTCAACAGGTACAGAGAACCAACCCCAGCCCCTGGGTCCCAGAAACAGTCTTGTGCTCATCTTATCTTGATCCTAACCGGAGGTCACTTAGACCTACTCTGACACAATACCTTCTTCTTGGACGATGCCATGCTTCTGGCACAAATCCCTCTTTTGTCTGCATCACTCTTTGCCACAGGCTGTGAGGTCATTTGCTCGAATGGTAAATTGGGTTGTCTGTAGAAGAAAACCTCCGAATTGCATGGGACAGTGGTTTAAGAAGGCTGAGCGCTCATTAGCTGTTTTCCACTGGAGAAGGAGGGGATTACATGGAATAGATTTCCACTGCCGCAGAAGCAGAATCTATTGGTCCAAACCTTCCCTGTAGAAGTGGAGCAAGTAAAATTAACGCTTCAGAAGGAATGTCTGAAACAAGTGCATGGCGCTCTGCTGCTCTGCTGATGGTAATCTCTACAAATGTAGGTTTGTGGAGGTCATTTGGCCTGTGCCACTGGAACCAGGGTTGGCTTGTCCCACAGGAAAACTTGGCTACAGGCACAGCACTGGGGGGATTTGTAGGGAAACCAGTTACAAATCCACATGACTCATAGACACAGAACTGAAAGGGATCTTAAGAGATTATTGAGTTCGGCCAACATTTTTCACCCCATCTTATAAACAAGGAAACTGAAACCTGAGAAAGTAAATGCATTGCCCTAGATCACTCAGCCAGTAAGGGAAGGAGCAGGAGTTCTTTGAAAGACATGTTTTGTTCCTGTTTCACAGATGAAAAACTTGAAGACATAGAGCTAGTAAGTAGCAGAGCTGAGGTTAGACCCTCAACCTGACTCGTTTTAAAGCCTACTGAGGAAATTGCTGTCCCACTACATCAGGTCATAATAGTTGCAAAAAAAAGAAAAGAAAAGAAATCAGCAAAGAAAGGAGAGAGCAGTGTGTGCAAAGAAGGTGAGAAAGATCTCTAGCATCTCTGACGTTGGATGCTTTTGATCTCTGGGTCCTCCCACAGAGCTGCTGTTGGTTCTTCTGCTTGGAAACATCTGCAGATTCACTTTTCCTGTCTCTTTCCAGGCTCCTTCCTCCTCCTCAACACCTCAGCAGACTCCAAGCACACCATCCTGAGCCCCTGGATGAGGAGCAGCAGTGAGCACTGCACGCTGGCTGTCTCGGTGCACAGGCACCTGCAGCCATCTGGGAGGTATGTCGCCCAGCTGCTGCCCCACAATGAGGCTGGAAGAGAGATTCTCCTGGTACCCACTCCTGGGAAGCATGGGTAAGTCCTTCCACTGCCCCAAACTGATTTTATAAAAGGCAATTTGGTTTTTGGCTGCAAATTTCCAGACTCAGTGACATCTACTTAAAACTCACAATTGTCCTTTAATAGGTAGGTCCAGATTGAACCATTACTGCTAATATCCCCTGGGTAATGTCTTAGGCATTGATCTGTGGGTCCCCCTGACCGCCCTGGCTAGTGGTCCTTCCAGAGGCCAGAGGACCAGCTGTCAGAGTGGCCATTTAATGTGTAGATGTTAAAGATATTCATTTCCCAAAGCCCAGATGGAGCCAAGAAGAAAATGGCTAAAGAGAATGTTAAATGGCTGAAATTAAAATAATTTAATATGCTAGGAACTGGGTTTTACCAGCAGAACTTGGACAGGAAGGGAAAAAAAAGACTACTGTGACCACCCAAGAGGTCCTACAGGGGTGTAGGAGAATTAGTTAGGGATAGCACACCAGCACCGATTCAGTAGAGATTTGAACAGAGCTTTGTACTAGAACCTCTGAGACACACACAACCCTAAAGTTACACCCAGTGCCTATGACAGCAAAATCCTCTGATCTCTCTGGAGGTCTCACTTTCTCAGAGATCTATCAGATCTCTACAGGGAGTGACATGGAAAATCAAACTCCATTCATTTCATAATTATAAATACCATCTAAGTCTCCAGCTTCCAGGGGCCCCAAATTTGATAACTGTGTAATCAAATGGTAAAGGATCCTTCTTTGTGACATGTCTATAGGAGGAAGAGCCCAGATTTGTAGTTCTACTTAGACTTGGCTTCATTCTTTAAAAAAATATCTTTTCAGAGGGGTCCCAGCTGAATAATGACTGTTACCCATCCTCCATTCTCCTGGTGTGCAGGAGGAGGGGAGTCCAGCCTATTGCTTTGCCAATAAGGCCATGTGATCTTCTTGGGAGTTTCTTGGCAGTCTGCTCCCCACTCCCCACCACTGACCTGTCTATTCAGTTGTGCTTGGAAGAAATACAAGGGACTGAAATCCCAGCAGGAAGGACATTTTGGTGTCAGGAAGGATGTTCTCCTCATACCTAAATTCACATCCTTCCTCTTGCCTTTGAAATACCTCTTTGCCCGGGGAAAAGTGCCTCTTGCTCTATAAACCAGCAATCAGAAGTGCCAGGTAGCTGGGCTCCCCACTGTTTTGGATGTGCTGTTCTCTGATGCTTTCCAGTGAGAAACGCATGGGCAGGGCCTGCAGTGGCCTCTGCTGTGGTCCCATCCTAAAGGTATTTGCCCAGCTTCAGGAGCTGTGTGTTGACTTCTGCACTCCTGGTTCCCTCGCCACCCAGCCAAGCAGAGACAGGAAGCACTGGCTGTTCCAGGCTGCTGTTCTAGGCTGCTGAGCCTGCAGACAGTCCTTTGTGGTGTTGTGTGGGTGAGACAGGGAATTACTGATGTCACAGGGTGAGCGGAGTTACAGACCACCCTGAAAGGCAGGCTGAGAATGTCCAGGAGTGTGAGAGGAGCTGTGCCAGGACATTTCAGCACCTTCTGAACAGCAGTGCCATTCTGTGCAGCAGTCAGGGAGAGAGTAGCTCCTTCTTGGGTATAACTAGCCATAGGGTCTTGCAAAGGGTTTTCTCCTCTTTATCTTCCTGCACTGATAACTATTAGGTAGACCCCATTTATCATATGAGAAAACTGAGAAATAGATAGTGCCATGGTCCAAACTGGATTCTGGGTCTCTTCTCTTTTCATTTGTGCTATTTTCAGACAAATTAAAACCTCTCAGCAGGATGAGCCCAGGGGCATGTGGCACTAGTGCCTTTGGGTACTACCTTCCCCTCCACAGGTGGTGAGAACTAGGAGACTTCTCCACCATGGTATAAGCAGGCCATGAACTTCACACTGAGGCTGCCATGGCCACCAGCCTCAGGGTCCACCTGGCTGGCCAGTGAATCCTCTTCCTGAGGTGACTTTTCCATTATCACAGGGGCTGGCCTGCCCTCTGGAGGGTGTCAGTTGATGCAGGAGAGAGAGAGCAGGATTACACTGGGGTGAATCCAGGGACCCAGGGCTTTACCTGGGGCTGCCAAGACTTCTACAGGCGCTTTGTCATAGGCCCAGGCTCTCGAATCTCAAGTACAGAGATGTTCTCCCCTAACTCTGGCAGACCCATCTTGGAGTTTAGTGAGCAGGAATGATTCCAAATTCAAATTAAAGATCAATGTGGCGAGGGTGGAAGGTAGCTGCTGCAGGGATAATCAATAGCCTGCTCACTGCATCGAGGATCTCTGCTCCCCTGGGCATCTTGGCAAGCGGCAAGACACGAGGCACTTACCCAGCAAATCAAAGAGCTCTGGGTATTTGTATAAAGTTAGACCAGGCTTATTTTAGCCTCATGTTGTTGACATTTGGGGCAGAACAATTCCTTTGTCGGGGGCTGTCCTGTGCAGATTTGCCTAACATTCCAGGTTTCCATCCAACTGGATGCCAACAGCACCTCTCCCAGGTGTGACAATCAAAAACACCTCCAGGCATTGTCAGATGTCCCCTGAGGGGCAAAATCACCCCGTGGAGAACCACTGAGTTAGGTGGAACATTTTAGAGCTGGGAAGAACAATGGAATTTGCCTGGTTCATTCTTCTCAGTTTATAAGTGTAGGGACTAAGGACCAGGAGGGGAAGGGACTTGCTCCGAGTCTCATTATAAGTCTCATTTTTTGGTAGCTGAGTGCCTGGAGTCTTACATTTGTGTTTATGTGCCAATCACTGTAGTAGGTGCTGGATTACAAAGACACATAAGGCCCAGGCCCTACCCTTGAGTAATAATATCCATTGCTGACATTTATTTAGCACTTCCTAGATGCATTGCCGCTTGCTGCTGTGCACATTAGATGCTTTTTCTTATTTAAGAGTCACATCACAATGAACTAGATTATTATTACCCGTTTTACAGATGGGGAAGCTCAGTGAGTCCAAATAACCTACCCAAGGTCACAAGTTAGACAGGCTGGAGGAGTTCAGGACCAGCCAACCAAACTTCAGACTAATTTTACACATTGCTATAAGAGCCAAATTAGGCCATTGTAGTATAGCAGAAAAAAAAATCATAGCAGAAAATATGAATAGAAAGTCCTAAATCTAAATCTTAACTCACTGTTCAGTTGTCAGTTCAATAAATAATCATTTATTGAGGACTTTCTATTTGCTAGGACAATAGAGGTGCCAGGTATACAAAAGGTCAACCCCTCTATCAAGATTGTTCTGTGGCTTTAGGCAAACCCCATTCCCTCTAAAGCCTCAATTTCCCTGACTGTAAAGTGAGAATAACGATGCTGGCCCTGCCCCCATACTATTATGGGATCAATGTAATAAAGGATAAATAATTTTGCACAGTCCAAGTATAATGCAGACATACAAGGAGCTGTTATTGAAGATTCTAATGGGCTTTGCTCTGCTTAGACTTTGTGATCATGAGGGACTGAGATTTCTCTGCTTTCTGATTATAAGTCACTGCCAGCATACAGAATCCAGTGGTTTCCCTCAGTCAAAACTCACTCCCTTTAATGTCAGCGATGACCTCAGCAGCATGATGCTCAGAGCAGCAAGGGGGACACAGTGATATCCTGGTGATGTTGACTGTGATGATTCCAAGTGGTGCTGGCTTCCTCTCATAACAGGAAATGGTGGTTTGGGGACCAGTCATTAGACAGCAGCACTCAGTGTTTGTAGTTGGAAGGGAGGAAGTTGTAATAGGAAAGCCATCAGGGGAGATCCTGACTCAGAGGAGTGGGCTGAGGAATGCCAAGTCAGACGCAACCAAGTCCCCAGAAACTCCTGAGTCGTGAGCTTGCTGGGGCGACTCTGGGAGCAGCAGCAGGGAAAGGCAGGCCGGGGGACACAGCAGCTACTCCCTTCCAAGTGGCCTGGAAAGCAGCACAGGGTACGGGGTCTAATGATTCACAGAGTATGAGCAACTGTGTCTGCCAAGGCGGGATGGCTTCAGCAGGCTGCTCCCAGGGGACAGGAAGACTGAGCCCAGCCGAGTGCTCACTCTGAGCACTGTTCATCGGCCTCACCAAGTGCTGAGCCTGCTCATCGGCCCCACCAGAAGGACTGCAGAAGCAAGGAAACAGAAAGCAGGGCTGTCAGTCAGCCCAGACCTGGCTGGCCACACCGTCAAACAGGCATAGGACATCATAGCTAGAAATGAGTGGCCACAAAGTCCCCATGAATTGAATGAATGTGATAATACCTATTTAATATGGTGAGATGTAAGATGGCAGAAGGAAAATGGCTCACATTATGCCCGACGAGCAGGTGCTTAATAAATGCTACATCCTTTTCAGTTCATATATTCTTTTCACAACCGTGGACTGAGTGCCTTCCATGGAATAGGTGCCAAAAGATGACACAGCTGAAACATGGTCACAGCTTTCAAAGAGCATCCGGTCCATTAGGGAAGACACAGCAAAATAGCAATAGCACATGCTCATGCTGATGTTTTTAAATGGAGGCCCAGAAATATTAAGACGTTGAGCTAAGATCAGCAGCAGCCATCACGAGCATGGGTAGCCTAGCTCCAGCCTCTGCCAAGTGAGTGGCCACTGCACCAAGCTGCCATCCTCATATGCTTTAGAAAGATCAATCCAGGGGTGATTGGCTGTGTGACATCGGTGCCCTTCTGAGTGCAAGCTTGAGGGTTGATGTTTGGGGCCATCTAAGCACGTGGCTTTCTCCTGCAGCTGGGGGTATCTGGGGACTTTATTATGTGTGACCAGAACCACACAGTGTGTGGTGGGAAGAACTGGGTCCTGAGGGGACAGAAGTTGCCAACCGCTCAAATTACTAATATTCAAACAAGATGCTTTATATCTAAAGGATTTGGTGGCACTTGTGCTGCAGCCATCTGTCCCAAGTGAATAAAAACCTGGGTCTGGGCTGGGAACCCACGTAGCTGTCAACCCTTATTTAAACCAGTCAGTTCTGACCAAAGATGGGGCTTTATAACCAGCAACAATGCTAATGGG